GCCGAGAGCTAAAGCTACGCAGTTTAGCGTTTTCATCTCAAATCGACCGAAACTTTTGAAAAATATGCAGTCCTTCGCCATACGAACTCACTTCTAAGTAACACAAAACCAATATTGACTTGTTAATCCTTAAATTGAAACTCCACTCTCCCAAACTTGTAGGAATGAGATCTTGTTGTTTTGGAAAATATCCGTTGGGATAAGGATTGTTGTGTCTTTATCGTTGTAAATTAACAACTTTCTAATTCAGAAAAAAGACGAAGCGTTAAATTTGTGCGTATAATGCAACTTTAGAACGACTTGCTCGATAAGACCATTTTCGGATCTTCTACTTTCGACATGTTTTTCTCTGTTTTCCTTAAAGAGGAAACAATTAACCGACACGCAATACATGCGACGAATCTCAAAAAACGTGCGTTTTTTCTCCATTTAGTTCTTCAAACTTATTGAAATATTGCAGAAAATTTCCTCAGTGTTGAAAAACAAAACAATAGCAACAACAGAATCATTTGCATATGATAAGTTAATACTTATTAACCGGTATTTGCTAACAAAAAGATTTCAAATTCGAAAGCTGCCAAATTATTGCATTTTCTCGTTTGATCGATGTCTCGTGACCTCAAGAGAAGCTTTCTACTTTCTTGAGACAATATTGTTTCAGAACAAAAAGCGATGAATCGAGCACGGACATATATTATTCTGTCGTGAAAAGCAGAAAAACGACGACGAACGAGTTTGTTTTGATCAGCAGTTTCCTGCATTTCCTTGAGGAAAAATAGGCTATTTAGACACTTGACACTTGAGTATCTGATTGGCAATTTCTATGATGAACTTAAAAATTTCTACATTAATATATACATTGGCTGATGAAAAGATGCTATTTTTCAAGAAGCCATCTTCATCTAAGCTCTACATTTGGATAATCAAGATTTACTAGTAATAATACCCATGTACAACACGAATGTTGAGTTAATGAATTTATGTGTGAAGTTATTTATGTCTAATACCAAACCTAACTCCAGAGCAAAAATAATATAAAAACAACATCACGAAGCATAGATTTTCGCCATGTCAGCATCCGAAGTGTGAGAATCTGCCATCTAGGCTCAACACGTTTTGAATTAATATATAGGGAGGGACGAGTCTAAGTGAGTAAGCTTAGGGGAACTTCGTTGAAAGCATTAGGAGCTCCTTCATGCTATAAGGGAGATAGGTGGTGGTGATGGTGGTAAAACTTTTCTTTGGAAATTTTGAAATAAATAAATAGTATTTGATATTGTGCAAATCCACAAATATAAATAAAGTACTATATGCTATATATGTTATATCGTATGCATGGTTGAAAATATAAGCTATATAATGGTATTATATTTTAAAAATTTTGGACATTAGTAAAAAAAACAAACAGTATTGATTTATTTAACTACATATGAATCACTATATTGATTGGATCGAATGTAATGAATAATATAATGTTTATAATTTTTTTTTTTTTCAGTTAGAGTGACGAAAATCCACATTTGGAGTTGAGTAGTTGGACAAATTTAAGAATAAATGGTAATGAGTTTGTTCTATTGATAAATGTATATAGAAGTATTTTTTTTTTTTGTAAAACGTAAATAAAAGTATGACATTTACATCTCTATTTAAATATTATGATAAATCAATCTGATCTCTAACAGTTAGGCGGTCTTACACGAGAAATTTATATATAAATAAAGCATGGATATGAAGATTTTTGTTTTTCATAATGTACTAATATGTACATTAGAGTCCATGTTGCATCTTGGCTGACAGAAAAAAATGAGTAGCAAAATTGATGTGAGATATAAAGTAGTAATTAATTGTGGTATGATAAATAAGGAAATAATAATTGATTATAAATATATGAGTGAACAAATAGTATGATTTATAAAGAAGTGTATAGTAATAAAATGGTAGAAATAGTAAAATAATTGAATTGCTAGGTAAAAGCAAAATATATTTTAGTATACAATCCCACCGTTATATATATATCCCCTATATATTATTACAGAATGCGCTGAGTCTACGTGACTGCTTCTGGTGCTTCGGAATCTTATGTGGCAAAATTACATGCTTCGTTATTAGGCTTAGATAAATTTTAATTTAATTTCAAACCAAAAATAATTAGGTTCGGATTACCATAAATATGTTGATTATTTATGGTCATTTTACATGTATTAATTGTATTTGAATATCATTCCTTATTATAACTATTAAATTGTATATATATTTTAAAAATTAATAACTTTTGTATTTTTTTATCAATTTTACATATGTAATATATTAAATTAATCTTCTTTTGATGAGTTTCAATTTAACATCCATATTGTATGCATAAAAAAATAATTTATATTTATCTTTATAATAATAATAAAATTATTTTTAATATTAATTAGAAAAATAAAATTATTTATCAACTAATATATTTATATTTCAAGTAGTTATATGATATAAGTTATAACAACTAATATAATATAACACATGTAAGTCATAAGTAACACATATCATTCTAAAATATATAGTAATATAATTTTTTTTGTAACTAAATTTAATTTAGTTTTCTCATTAATTTTAAAATTTAAGAATAATTTTTTCATAAGCACCCGTGTAATACACGGGTGTTGTACTAGTGTATATATATATACTAGTACAACGCCCGTGTATTACACGGGTGCTTGTTAATTTTTTATTTAAAATTTAAAATTAATGAGAAAAATAGTTGAAAATTTAAAACATTTTTATAAAAATATATATACTATTATATATTAAGTATGAAACTTTTTATTTGTGTGACTTACCTGTATTATATTATAATAATTTTTTATAACTTACAAAATATATCTACATTAAACATAAATATATCAATTGAGAAATAATTTTATTTTTCTAATGAATTTTAATAAATATTATTATTATTTTTTATTATAAAGATAAATATAATTTATTTATTTAATATATACAATATGGATGTCAAATCGAACATCATCAAAAGGTGATTAATTTGATATATTATATATGTAAAACCGATAAGAAATACAAAAGTTATCAACTTTTAAAATACATTTACAATTCAATAGCTAATTAAAGGAAACAAATCAAAAGTCAGGGATATATTAGTCACTTAGTGCATCACTATGTAAAACTACAAAGAATTAAAGGGTTATATTAGTACAAGTAATATTAAAATACCTAAGTTAACTAAATAATATTTATGGAATGTCCTAACCTAGATTGTTAATTATTAATATATCAATATTATTTGTCCAAACCTAATTACGAAGCATGATTATTTGTCATGTAGGATTCCGAAGCACCAGAAACAGTCACGTAGGCTCAGCGCATTCGGGAATTATATATAAGGGGATATATATATATATATATATATATATATATATATATATATTTTCTAGCAACAACACATGTATTATGGTATTGATATTATTTTTTTTATTATTATTGAAACAAAATTATAGAAATTGGGAAAGCAAAACCAGCCCCTACTTAGGGTGTGTTTGTATATTAATTATTTTAATCCATATTTAAATGTAACTCAACGTTAATCAACCAGCTATATTCAACATTATTAATATAATTAATTAATATCAATTAATTATTATTACGCATCACATTAACTTTAATTTACTTTTCTTATCATTTCTCCTACTTTTACATCAAATTAACTTTAAATATTATTTTAATATAAACTCAAAATTTCACTACCCAAGAGCGCTTGGATGAGATGATTTGGGTCTCTTCCAGCTTAACCAGTGGTCTCGTGTTCGAGCTCTGTGAATGCAACAGTGTTAAAAACTCTTGAGGGAGAGCTTTGCCGTCCTTGTGGTCCTACCCAGCTCGATTTCGGATTAGTCGGTTCCCCTGTGGATCCAGAAACCGGAAGGTCCCTTACCAAAAAAAAATTCACTAACAATTAACAATATATTTTTTTCTTTTAAATTAACCATGTTAATAATAATAATAAAAAAAAAAAAAACTCATTTTCACGGATATAATTTTATACAAACAAAATCTTTTGTTATTGTCCGACAGAGAGAACCAAGAGAGAAGAAACAAGCAAAACCATAGGGTCACAGTGAATAATAATGCTCAGAAACTAGTTTCGTTTTCAACTCTGTGTTGTAATCAAAGCTGTTCAAGATTGTACAGAGGCGGAGGCGCTGTCCGAGGTAAACATAATCTCGCTCGAACAAATCCCACAAAAGTTCTTGTTTTTATCCTTTCAAGAATTTCGTCTTTTTTTTTTTGTCAGATCCATGCTGCCCTTGCAATTTCAGTTCGTGGGTTTCTGCAAATCCAGGTTATTTCTATGTATAACCCCGTTGGTTTCATTTTTTTTGAAGTTTTAGTTTGGCCCTCGTACATTAATGCTGCTTATGGATTTGAAATTTATGTTTTTTTTGTGGGTTTTGACGTTATATTAGGATAAAGTTTTCATTTTTTTTGAAGTTTTAGTTTGGCCCGCTGAACAAAATGGTCCTTGAGAGCTTGCAACCTTCTAGGAGAATGCGTATCATCTTTCAATCAATTCATCCATGAGCTCTCTGTCGATTCCGATTCATCCACGAGCGTAGATTACGCATCTGATGGTGAAGATAGTGGTATTTATCCTGGATCTCCTTTATCACAAACTTCTCATGTCTCAAGGGAAAGCAATTTCATCAAAATCAAAAGAACTTGGGTATACTGGATCATATGTATACTGTCATGGATTCTCTTTCCTGTGAAATTCTTTTTCAGCATTCCGTATTATATGTATGCTTCGGCTTTCCACAAGACTTCTAAAGAAGCTCCTGCTAAGACAGGAAAACAAAATCATTCGGTTGCGCATTCTCCTAGAAGGTTGCAAGCTCTCAAGGACCATTTTGTTCAGCGGGCCACAGACCGTAGGCGTGGCATTGTTGAGGTTTGTCAATCGATTTTATATCCGGATGATTATTGGATCATAATTTTGCTATTTACCGGGTGCTGAGTAGAATATGCTCAGATCAAAAGAAATATAAAATCTAATGTCTTTGACTGAAGTTTTGAAATAACACCTTCCTCAAAAATTCCTGCCCTGAATGCATGATCTGTACTCTTGTAGATGGCATTTACATAGATGTAAATACCCAAAGAATTACTCAACTTTTTTTTTTTTTTTTTTAATAGGACCTCCACTTAGCAATTGAGGTGTTTATAGAATCCGCATTTGATGTTGTTCACAAGGCGGCCCACTGTCTTCTAGCGCCTATAGACACGACTAAAAGAGTATTTTGGTGGGTTTCTTCACAAATAAGTGGCGATGAAGAGGTTAATTCAGAGGGTTATGTCACGACTTCTGTTCTAGCAGATGATAGTCCAGCTCCTGTGGAGAGAAAAACGAGTTTTCACAATTCTCTCAATACAGATGCACGGACATGTAAAGATGTCATTGCAGAGCTAGGGTATGAATGTTCTGATATTCTTTTCTTCTCTCGTGCTATTTAATGGACTGTAACGTTGAAAAGGATATGATTTGCTATCAGTTAACATCTGCTGACAAGTTCAAATGATATTAATGTCAGGCAAACACTTTTGTTTTTCATGATTTTCTGGACTAGTTGTGAACTGAGGTGGTCGTTTATAAATTTTTTTTATGTGTTTGTTGCCTTAATTTTTTCCAGCACCTCTTCTATCGAAATATGTCAGATCTTGGTTTTGATGTGCATCCAGAGTGTCTTTTTTTTTTTTTTTTTTTTTTTTTTT